AAAAAAAAACACAAGTCTGGGGCTAAAACTGTTCTCTTCCATATCAACCAGACAGGCCCAAGAAGCTACCCGACCCTCACCCAACTCAACTTATCCCTAGCATGAATACAAGGTTTATGTAGATTTTGGGTACATAAATGTATCACTAGAGATATCCTTCAGTTATGTTGCTAAGTTTACCTATGAGGCCTAAAGCTACTACCTGAATCCATATTTTGCCTCCTATAAATTCTCGAAGTGCTTTGGCATCATATCATTAGTTGGTAAAATATACCTCCATATTTTTGGAGACTAAACTGGAAACTTCAAATAATGGTTAACAGAGAGTAGCACGCATGAGAAAAGATCCAGTAGATTACAGCATATGAAATACTTCGAGAAGACATCCGGGATCACCTGTAAGATCTTCCATATATTTTGGCTTCATGTCAATGATGTTGAAACACTGGTCTCTGACATCAAGGTTCCATACGTTTATCCTAAGGTCATCCCCAGAAAGGAATGTCTCGCCATCGCTGTAAAAGTATAAAAAACCAGAGAATTATCTAACGACTGGCACTCTTTCAACTGTTAAACAACTTTCACACTATTGAGTTTCTCTGGTACTGCTACTTATAGAAGGATACCTCTGGTCTGATCGATCAAGCTCAATCAGAAACACAAACAACAGAGGCTGGTCAAATTTCATTTCAAGTGAGCAAGTTTAAAATTCATAATATTCACAAGAACAGAAGAATACCTATTGTTTGAGATGGAATTGATGTTGAAATCATGAGCATGTGCATACACTCTTCTGCATCTTCTAGAAGCTACATTTGTGATATCTGCAAGCTATTTACAACAGTAGCTGGAATCACAAGCTATAGCAGCATGTCAAATTCATATAATTTGGGGAAGTAAATGTAATAAAGAATGCGTGAATATTAACACTCTTCCATGTCCTACATGTGAGGGCAACGTGCCATTCATTTTGTCAGTCCATTCTAGCCTGGTACCATTAGCATGAGATGGTTCACTTTGTCCACTCATGAAACTTTTATCAGCTAAAAGAGAATTCTCTGAAGTCACAAATGGATTGATGTACATTTGTTTAACTTTCTTTACTTTCTGTTCCTTGATCCGCAAAAGAAACAAATGAAGAAAACAGTAAATTGATTTGTACAACTTAGTAAGGTTACAGTAGATGGAAACCAACAAGTGGATCTTAGTTCATCAAGAAAGAACACGCCATCCGGAGTTTTTTCCATAATGCACAGACAAAAAATCAATCTTTACAGACTCTGAACATGCAATGCAGCTAATACTTAACTTTCACCACAGAGAAATCTTCTTTTATTTTCCCACTGTTTTTATTTTTCATGTGTGGTGTATGTCACAAATAGATGAACATTTAGATACAGTTCTTAGTTCAGAAAGCTGCATCTAACCAAGTTAAGTATCTTAGTCAGAAATATCTTAAAAGATAAAAATGATAGTACTACTTCACAGCTGCTCTTCCACACTTCCGAATATCTGGTGCCAAATGTCACCCCTTTCCTTATTTCTTTGATAATAGAGTCTTTGTAGCGATTGTACAAGTTCGTGAAGAGGGAAAACCAAATGTGGTACATCTTTCTGCACTTGATTATTCTTTTGCTTGGTCATTGTCACTAATGAGTATTACAAGCAATGTATACAGAAATCTACAGCTGCCTTACAAATTTCAGTAGCCAAAGCTAAAGTTACTTTTGTTCTTTTTTTAACCCCTTTTCTCTGATCCTTCTCCAAGCTAAAATTGCAAGTTGAGTAGTGCCTTCCATTCTTTCTCTGATTCTGAATCTGTTAACAATAACTTAGCAGTGAAGTTGAGCCGTAAGAATATCTCTGTCTGGTCAAATGCACTTAACAGTTAACATGGTCAGTTTGGCATTTTCAATGAGTTCATGCAGAAGGTCGATCAAGCGACCTGAGGTACTGCTTCCTTCACCTCCTGGAATTTAGTAAACAAGACATAGTATGAATTTATGTGATCAAGTCTCTATCTAAAGAAATTACAGTGAAATTCTCCTTACATTCGAAACCTCTACCCACAGATCAAGTGTCTTCAGTGCTTTGCCGGAGACTAGTGTCTCACGAGCTAATGCAACTCCTTCAGCCAGATTCTTAACAAGTCCACTTACCAGGAGAGCAGCTGCTGCATTTAGTGCCTGTGAATTTGTTTGGTAGATAATGTAAGAACTTTCAAGGTGAAAGGACATTATTGAAAATGGAAACAAGTGCTTTGTCAATCTTTTTATAAGGAGGAGCCTTAAATCTGACAACAAGCTACATCAATCAGATAAGTTTATAAGGATATTTGAAGCATAACAGACAAAGAAACTTACAAATGCATCAGCAATCGGCCCTTTTTCTCCGGACAGCACGCGTTTGAGCATGTCGGCATTGTAATCTGGACCTCCACCTCGCAAGCTTTCCAGAGTACAACGCGGGATACCAAAGTCCACTATTGAAGAATAATCTTGTCAGATTAATTTTTTCACATAGACAATGTTATATACAAAAATAAAAAAAATAAAAAAAGGGGGCAGCCCGGTGCACGAAGCATCCCGCGGTCACGCAGGGTTCGGGGAAAGGTCGCATCCCAAGGGGGTATGATGTAGGAAGCCTACCCCAAAGAGACAATGTTATATGACTAGTGAAAAACACATTAATCATATTGCATCATTCTTTACTGCAGAGTTCACCAAATACTTAGGGCGGCATTCACTTGTTATCAGTGCGAAGCAATAAATACATCCGGCTCCGGGCTGCCCTTTTTCTGATTTCATGTGTTACTTACATGGATCAAAGGAGAACTTCTCAATATTGTCTAGTGTGACATCAAGGACTAATCCAGGGCCTGCGAAATGAATTGTCATACTAAAAGATATACAAGCAAAGTCAAACTAAAAAGGACAATGTTACCAAAGACAACATATTTACTAGTGTCGTGGAAGGGGACCATACCAAGAGGACTCATCTCATCTAGGCCTTCTGAGTGAACAACCAGTGCTCTTTTCATGCCAAATCTCTGGACTGCTTTAGCCATTTTGTGGACCTACAACAAGAGATGTTTCATTCACCAAATGAATGTACACAACACATAAAGAATAACATTGAAACAGGTCAGAAAGCTATGAACCAAAGGGTAGAATGGAGATAAGACCAGAAAATTTAGCACCTCAATTCACATAATTTAAGACTACAAGATTCTTAAAGCCACATTCATAGAACAAGTGATATTATGTAATTCAACAGTTGAAAATGTACCAGGTCTTCTTTGTAAACTCCAACTACAGCAAACGGCACTCTTGCTGGGTTCAACATAGGCCCCAAGATATTGAACACTGTCTTTACTTTCAGCTTTTTCCTGATAGGTCTGACAATCTTCATCGCTGGATGATATACTGGAGCCATCATGAAACCGATTCCAGCTCGAGTTACACACTCTTTCACCCCCTGAAGCCAGTAACAAAGAATAAATGCATGGTTGTTAGATGGCTCAGTAATTAAATTACGTTAATAATTTGATTTGGTGAACGTCACATCTAGTGTTTCTCCTTATAAAGCAAATATTAACTAATGCGATAGCAAACTTCATTTTTAAACCTTCATTTCTTAAAACTACAGCACACTTTTCTCTTTTCAAGAAAAAAAATCTTTAGAACTACAATACAATATTAAAAGTCCTCAACTACCAACATTTTTCAGCCAAGAACAGCAATATCACCAACCTCAGGGTCCAGCTCAATGGCAATGCCTAGTGCTTCCAATACATCTGCACTCCCACAAGCGGATGAACTCGACCTATTACCTTGCTGCAATTTAATACCACAAATTTTTAGCCTCAAATGTCCACAGTTTTTGGTGAAATTAAATAACTTTGGACAACAAAAAAGAGCTCTGTCAACCTTGGCTACTTTTGCACCGCAAGCTGCAGCAAGTATTGAAGCACCTGTTGAGATATTCACCGTGTTTGCACCATCCCCTCCTGTTCCAACAATATCAACCGCGTCGCCTAAGCCTTCCACTTGTCTGCAATGCTTTATCATTGCCCTTGCCAATCCCACTACCTAATTATCATCATTAGCTCGATTAATGAAGGAGCGAATAAAGACAATCTGGTTCTGTGAAATCAGATTCATAGCCAGAGGATTCTACATCCAAATGGAAGCTTTACAGTATATTTTAAATTAGGGCCTGTTCTTCAAAAAGCATAGTTTTTTCTGAAAAAAATTTCATCAGAAAGGAAATACTGTACTAAAATATTTATTTCACCTAAATTATAATTCAAAGGGTATACATAAACCTTTACCAATATGGCAATAGTTAAAGAAAGAACTTACTTCTTCAAAGGTTTCACCTTTAGCTCTCAAAAGAACAAGAAAAGCACTAATTAAAGCTTCATCAGCACCATCCAACAAATAATCAAGAGATTCTTCTGCTTCAGATTCCGTCAAGTCTTTCCTACTAATTAAAGTCTCGATCAACTGAATCAATCACAAAAAGGAACAAGCTTTAATCACAATAAGAAAATCCCAATTCAGCATTGTAGTTAAAAAAAAAAAAAGCTTCCTTGTTTATTACCTCACTAAAGGTGGATATGGATGACTGCTTATTGGAGGAATTGGTCAAAGCATAATGAAGAGTTGAAAACTTTTTTTGGGTGATATTGGCAAGTGGGTTACTTCCAAGAAACAATTTAGTAAGGTCTCTTTTTGCAAAAAGAGATGCAGATGCTGAAAACGGAATGCGGCTATGAAACAGAGCCATGTCTTTAGCAGTTTGCCAGATGAAAGGAGGCAGCTTCTGTTATCCAATTTAATGAACTGAAACTGAAGAAGCTAAGGGCTTGGGGTGTAAAAGTAATAAGAAACTGAGTTCGTGTGGCGTGTACAGTTAGTTTGGTGAAGGGTAGCAGAAGGAATATCAATCATATGACATTAAACACGCACTAGTTTTCTGGGTACTTTTTTTTATTCTTTATTTATCTTTTATTTATTTATATTACATTCAAAACTAGGAGGGCGCAGATTCATAAATTAGGGTTTCTAGCCTATAAACCCAAGACTTGTATGGGATAAATAAAATATGATCAAGAAAGGAACACGTGACAAGGACCAATTGTGATTCCTCAAATAAAAAATTGAGGAATTTTCAAAAACAACTTTAGTCAAGTGGTTTTATAGCTACAATATATATATTATTATAAAACACGAATATTTTATGCTAAATATTATATGATAAAAATATTCTTAAAATATTAACGTACTTTTATGCCCCTCAATATCTCTTAACATTTAAAATATCATACACCATTTAATGGACAAAGACGTAAAGGATATATTTCGTAAATTAGAGTCCAAATAAAATTAACATAGGTCTCGGCATTTACTTCAACCACCTTACGTGGTATTATAATTATTGTAGGTAAAAAAATTTGAATTTCTTTATAACTAGAATCATGATTAGTAGTCCTACTAAACTAAAATAATAGCTATTGCTTCGAATCCAATACTCCTTATTATAATCATCTTATCTTCATTAAGGTTTAATTTTTTTTTAAAAAAAGGTTTAATTTGTGGTATGTGAACATACTTTTGATTCCGGTGAGAGACTTTCATTGCAAAACATAGAGGCTAAGTTGAATTCAAAGAAAATTTGAACCAAACAAAAAAAAAGGATAATTTTTTGTTAAAAGTATGTTTTGTTCATAGTAAAATAAGAATTATATAGGCAAAGTAATTGGAGTACACACTCCTTTTTTTAAAAATCAAACACCATCTGCTGGTGGGGGTTAAGGCATCAACCCGGCTTACAAATCATCAAAGAGGAATAACATGTGAAGGAGTAGTGCGTTTCTCTATTTTTGTTTGCTTCATCTAATGTTCATGTCGGATGATTTCTTGCTACTTCCAGGAAATTTTAGTTGCATGCTTTCTTTATGATTTTTTTATTCCAGATTTTGATTTTGCTAGAGAATCTATATATGTTGATAGGATATGGAAGTTCACTATGCGATATGAATTTGTTTTATTAAATACTTTCTTTTCATTGTTCTTTGTTTGTTTTCTTCTGATTTTAAAATTCAATCTATGTATATTCATCACATGATTTAAGTGGAGGATTACTCACCATTTCAAGTGGAACTCGCCCAAAGCAACACAATTTAAAAGAAAACGTACAATAATACTAATTAGAATTGAAAAGAAGTCTTGATCTAAAAGTACTTAATCATAGCAATGAAGGAGCAAGACCCGGGCATATCAAACAATCTATATATTACACCTAGCATGAAACGTTATAAAATCACATAATGTGTCAAAATTTTCTAAAATCATCCCCTTAAATTTCATCAAAATCTCCATTTCTTCACCTTCCACACTTCACAACAATTACCATTAATTATCACACGAATACAAACACTAAAATAACACCATGGATCTCCGACTAAAGATAATCTTCTTTTTAGTTCTAGCGATGATTATTGATCCTATATCATCATCTTCATATGATCACAAATATCGTTATACCAACTTTGGTCATGATTTTGC